TCTGCGGCAGCGACGCCCTTCCCGACGCCCACCGCGGCTGCGGCCAGGACCAGCCCTACGGCACCGCCGCGGCGAGGCCGAGCTCGGCCCGAGTGATGCCCAGCTCGGCGCCCAGCCCGACGGTGGCCCCCCGCCTGCCGACGACGCCGACGGCGCGCCCACAGGCCCCGATTGCCAAAGGCGCATGGTCTGGATCACGGAGCACCAACGACGACGGCCTCAAGGCCTGGTGCGAGAACTGCGGCGCGCGGGAACGCCCGGCCTGGCTCCGCGAGGGCCTCGGTAGCCCCGGCGCCGAGCGGCGGCCAGAGCTCGCGGCGAGGCTCCGAACGGCGCGACTGCACGGCGGCGATGGGCGAGAGCCGGGCCTGATCAGGAGGCGTCGGTGCCGCGGGATGCACTCCGCATGCGCAGCGTTGGCACGGCAAGGAAGACCGCCGTTCAAGATGGTCCATGCCTTAGCCGGGTGGTCCAAACACCGAGATAGCACGAAGTAGTCGATGCATCGGCCTGCACTCTCCGAACTGTTGGTGCCGTGGCGCACTCCGAGGCAACACGTACCGCATCTACTGCGTCGGTCCACTCCGACCCACCGAGTGCCTCAAGCAGCAACTGGAAACATCCTCACACGATGAAGGGTAACGCAGCCTGCTTCACCAACAACTTATCAAGATCAGTCAAGATCTTCCAAGGCTGCTCCTTCTCTACCCCTCCTACCCTGCTCCTCCTCATCCCCCTTTTCCTCGTCCTCCTCCTCCTCCTCCTCATCATCATCATCAGCATCATCAGCATCATCATCAGCATCATCGTCAGCATCAGCATCAGCATCATCATCAGTATCATCATCATCAACATCCTCCTCCTCCTCCTCCTCCCCCCTCCTCCTCCTCCCCCGCCTCCTCCTTCTCCTCCTCTTCCTCCTCCTCATCCTCCTCCTCCTGATCCTCCTCCTCCTCCTCCAACTCCTCCTCCATACATTTTACTTATGAATAACTTCTCCCTGTCGCACCTGGAGGCTAGTTTTTAGGGCGGGCGGGTCGTTTCGCCTGAGACTTCCTCACCATTTACGACTCTCAAGCTGAAATTTGACAACAGTTTCACAGATGGAGGGCGGGTCGTTTTCAAAATGTGGCTCTCGCCTTGGCGCCGGGCACATTCGTTTTGAAAAATCTGCAAGAGATTAACGGATTGAGGGCGCATGGTTTACAAAATGTGGCTCTCGCCTCAGCGCCGCGCAATATCGTTTGACAAAGTTGCAAAGATCGACGGTGGTTCCTTCTTAAAATGTGGCTCTCGCCTTAGCGCCGTGCACTGTCGTTTACAAAATTTGCACGAGTTTCACGCATTCCCATGATCAACGTACCAGGTATGGCGTTTCGGAAGGATTCAGGATTATGTGTGTGCAACAGTTACGTTGATTCGCCGTATTGAAGTCCCAGGAGTGGCGTTCTGGCACGATTCAGGATCGTCAAGACGCAACAGTCAGGTTGATCTTGGAACCCCGAGACAAATGTTTTGGCATGCTTCAGAGTCTTCAAACGGTTCTCTTCCTACGAGGCAGTTCCCTCAATGGAAATGAACCGTTGTAAGGGCCTCTGAAGAGGGAGCTTCGAGGGAGGGTTTACTCCAACATCGTTGATGACTCTTGGGTTTACACTGGTCATCCTCCTCCTTCTCCTCTTCCTCCCCCTCCTCCTCCTCCTCCGCCTCCTCCTCCTCCGCCTCCTCCTCATCCTCATCCTGCTCTTCCTCCTCCTCCTCCTCCTCCTTCTCCTCCTCCTCCTCCTCCTCTTAATCCTCCTGCTCCTCCTCTTCCTCCTCTCCCTCCTCCGCCTCCCTCCTCCGCCTCCCACCCCCATGTTGGATACTGTAAGCGTGCCTTCCGCAAGTACACGCTACTCCATGGTGAAGTGTTCCGTACCCCTCCTTAGGTACACGCTGGATATTCTCCCCACGCGTAAGAGACTGGCCCAGATCCCAGCCCAGATAGCGGCAATCGACGTTCAGCATGCACCGCTGCCGGACGAAGAAGCGGGGAACGGGCAGCGGGAGGGGCGGAGGCGGAAGGAGGAGAGGAGGCGGGAAGGGGGCTGGGGGGCAGGAGGGATGCGGGGGGGCACGATTCTCGGAGCTGCCCCGTGTCACCAGCGGCGCAGGCAGCTGCAAGGCATGCGCACGCATCGGCTCCCGATGCCGTAATGCACACATGCGTTCAACCGCGCTCGAGAGCTCCGCCTCTAGATGAAAACACTGGCTCCTCACAGCACGCGCGCTCCAACTCGCGCCGGGCAGCGTCGTCGCTGACACTCCCAGTACGCGCCCAGCGAGTATGACCACATCCCAGACGTGTGTAAGAGATAGGGCAGCGCGTGGCGCCGTAGAGGTCACGCCAAGGATCTTGGCGTGGCAGTCGTGGGTGCTGTTCGCCGAGACCTCCGCGGGGGGGCACGCTGCGGATGCAGCCATCGCGCTACGACAGGGAGCGCTGGCCAGGGGCCGAAGGAGCTGCCCTGGCCACGGCGAGCCTCGGCCACAAACAGGTTCCCCGACTCAGAGCTGAGGAGTGGGCCAAAACTCCGAGCCCGTCCTGAGCCAAAAGGTGGTCCTCATCTCAGCGTCATGGCTGTAGGCCCAAAATCGGGGATGGACAGACCTCCCTTTAGTATAACGTGGTTTAGTGAAAACGACCTCGGGCCCAAAACTGGCGGGCGCAAGCCTGGAAAATGACGGCCGCGGCGCCCTCGCGAGAACCGAAAACGGACAATTCACTAATCGACGTGTCAGGGTAGGAGGTCTGTCCACCCCCGATAAAATGTCAACCTCCAACGATGGCGCGCCCACTGGCCCGCCGCTGTCCGGCAGGAGCCGTGGCCCCCATTGTGGGGAGGGCGGGGGCGCCCAACGGCACGCCGATGCAAAGCCGAGAGCGGCCTCGACGAGGTCCAGGCTCTCAAAGCCGTCCTGCCGTCCTGCCTTGCACCCCATCCCTCCCACGTTCCCCCATGCCTCCTCCGCTCTGCCCCCCCCCTCCTCACAGCATCCCCCCCCTGCTCATCCATCCATCGTTCCTCCTCCGTCCTGCCTCCTCACTCATCCCCCCTCCCGTTCCTCCCCCTTCAACCCTCCCTCCCCCTCTGTGTCGTCGTCGTCCTCCTCCTCCTCCTCCTCCTCCTCCTCCTCCTCCTCCTCCTCCTGCGCCCACTTCATCCCTCCTTCTCCTCCTCCTCCTCATCCTCCTTCTCCTCCTCCTCCTCCTCATCATCATCATCATCAGCATCATCATCATCAGCAGCAGCAACATAATCAGCATCATCATCAGCTGCAGCATCATCAGCAGCAGCAGCAGCAGTAGCATCAGCAGCATCATCATCAGCAGCAGCATCATCAGCAGCAGCATCAGAGTCAGCATCATGTTCGGCATCATCAGCATCGTCATCATCAGTATCATCATCAGCAGCAGCATCATCATCATCGTCGTCAGCATCATCCTCGTGGTGTTGTCATCCGCATCCTGACCTCTGGAATCAGCACTACCGCCACCAGCATAAGAAGTATCAGCATTCCAACGTCATTCCTCCCTTTCCCATCCTCCTCCCACAGCCACTTCCCTCACATCGCCTTAACCTCGCCCTCTTCGTCCTCATGTGTGGCTTGTGTTGTACAGCGAACACCTGCTGCAGTTGAACGGCTTGCGAAAGGAGGACACGGGGAGACTTCCCCCCATCCCTCGTATCCCCGCCCTTTTCCTCCCACGTCCGATCCATCCATCCCGCTTCCCTCCCCCACCATCCCGTCTCTTAGACCTTCATCGTCGTCATCGGCTCCTCCTCATCGTCCACCTTCGCCTCCTCCTCCTCCTCCTCGGCCACCAGCTGCTCTTCCTCCTCCCCATCCCCATCAGTCCGCCCTGGACTCTGAGGGGGGGGGATGCAGCTGGGTGCCATGCGGCTGCCTGGGTGGCTCCTGCGATCTCGGGAGGGGGAAAGATCCCGAGGCCACCTTGGAGCCGTCCTGGGCGGAGGAGAAGGAGGAGGGGGAGGGAGGAGGAGGAGGAGGAGGAGGAGGAGGAGGAGGAGGAGGAGGAGGAGGAGGAGGAGAAGTGAGGAGGGAGGAAGAGGAGGAGGGCTGGGTGGGCCGCCCCGGGCGGGCCGCCCAGGGCGGGCCTCGAGGCCGCCCGGGGTGGGCCTCGACGCCGCCTGCGAGCGGCCGTGCGTCGTGGTGGGCGGGCTTCCAGCTGCCTGCTTGGGGCCACCTCGCGGCCCCGGCGCCTCGCGGGGCCCGCCGAGGGGGGGGGCGGCACCTGGAGCGGTCTTCTTGGGGGGCGGTCGCGGCGCTCTCCCGAGCCATGCGAGCCGGGAGACACGAGGAGGGCGAGATCCCTGAGAGGGGGCCGAGGGGGAGGAGTTGGAGGAGGAGGGAGGAGGAGGAGGAGGGAGGAGGGAGGAGGGAGGAGGGAGGAGGAGGAGGAGGAGGAGGAGGAGGAGGAGGACGACGGATCGCCAAAGCCCTTCGGAGAAACCCTCCAGAGGTTGACCGTTGGCTGTCCGGGGGGCCCGGTGCCGCCCGCGGCCTTCTCTGGAGGGCCCCGCCGCGCTCCGTAGGGGGGCCCCGCCTGCCCCCGTGGGGCGCGGTGGCCCCCCTCGGAGCGCGCGCTGGGAGCCCTCGCCGGACGGGGGGGCACGGCCACCCAGAGGGGAGGCCTCGCTTCTGGGCCTCGGGCCCTGGTCACCACACACACACACAGACACACAGACAGACAGAGAGACAGAGAGACGGACGGACGGACGGACGGACGGACGGACGGACGGACAGGACAGGACAGACAGACAGGACAGGACAGGACAGGACAGGACAGGACAGGACAGGACAGGACAGGACAGGACAGGACAGGACAGGACAGGACAGGACAGGACAGGACAGACAGACAGACAGACAGACAGACAGACAGACAGACAGACAGACAGACAGACAGACAGACAGACAGACAGACAGACAGACAGACAGACACACACACACACACACAACACACACATGGATAGAGACATGGTCGGCCCAGGGGCGCGGCAGTCCTGCCGGGCCGCTGGGGGAAGGGTGGGAGGCGCAGGGCCTTCTCCTCGGACCGCGCTCTCGCGGTGCCACGCCCCAGGGCACTGCGGCAGGCCCGCGTCGCGAGCCCTCGGGGCGCCCGTTGCTGGCACGGCGCGGATCGTTAGGCCTGGCACGGTCGCGGCGCTCCGATGGCGCACTCGATGGCGGCCGATTCCCGGCAGCTGACGGCGTGCAAGCTGGAACGCCTGCGCCCGGGGGGCGCCACCGCGTCGACACCACGCGAGCCCGCCGCCATCGTCCCCCGGCAGCCGATGCCTCCACCAGGCACTCGTGAACGGGCACCAGGGCGTCGCAAACCTCGCGGCGGCATCACGCCCGCCGGCCCGAAGAGGAGGCGAGAGAGGAGATTTGCAGGATGGGGTGGCCTGTGGTGAGCTGCAACGCGGTCAACACCGAGGAGAAGCGGGTCGAGGCTGGCGAGAGGCTGTTGCCAGACGGGACTGGACAAGAGTCGCGGTACTGAGGGGGAGGAGGGAGGAAGAGGAGCAGTGGATAATGAAGATGTTGACACGCTCATCGAAGAGGACCTCCGAGTAAAACAATCCTGAGGAACTGCCAGGGGCGGGGTCCCTGAGGACATGGAGGAAGGAGCGGGAGTAAGACACGCCCAATGCGTGACTACAACACTTATTGAGGCACGAGTGCAAAACCATGAAACCAGAGAAGAACCCTCATCAGTGGATGGTCTGAACATTAGTGATATGGATGTTGAAATCAATGATGGGATCGATAGTGAGATCGATAGTGGGATGTAAGGTAAGGACGATAGTAAAAACGATGGTAAGGTCGATCGAGAGACCGATAGTGAAGTCGACTCAGTGAAATCGATCGTGAGGTCGATCGTGAGATCGCTCGTGCTATCTACAGTGAGATCGATTGTGAGATCGATAATGAGATCGACTGTGAGATCGATTGTGGGATCGATAGAGAAGTTGGTAATGAGATCGATGGTGAGACCGATCGATAAGAAGGTCGACCAAGAACCTGGGAACCAGGAAACCGGGGAACGCCGCCGCCCACCGAAATCGGCGCAGAACCAGCAACGGAAAAACCGTGAACCCGAAACTGGAACCCAGGAACCTGGCCGCATACTGAAATCGGCCAGGCACTTTCGCCAAATCTTTCATACTCCGCTAGGACCCTTCAGTGCAAGCACTGATTCGGGAATGAAGATGATGACAAAAATGCGAAAATGGAAAAGAACGAATACTAATATAATGGGCGCAATTGCGAAACGAAGCCCCAGGACAAGCCGCATGTTGAAGAATAGTGGTATGAACTTGTCTGATGCTCGAAGAATCTGACATGTCAAAACGATAAGGGCAAAGGGGGAGCGAAATGAGGGTCCTGGGTTCGAAGGACTCGCTGAATTATGAGGTCATATTGGAGTAGAAGTATCCGATGGTCAAAACTATTACGTGGGTCTTGGCTGTTTCTTCAAATCGCCGGGCTCCCGAGAGCACGATCCGATCGAGAAGTGCAAACGACAGTGGCGCCAGGCCCACAGGCCAAAGCGCTGGACGTCCAGGCTGTGGGCTCCGAGCCTCGGCGAGCCTCGGACCCCGGGACCTTAAACGCCAAAGGCCGGCCACGAGTCCCGGTCGCCGGCCTCTACGTTGTCGCGTGGCTGGGCCCAGACAGGGCACGCAGGAAGCGAGCCTGGCCTCCACAAGTGAGCCCAGCCCACCTTCCGAGCTCACCCATCAGCCTGCCCGCCCTGGCTACGCCCACACGTCCCCTTTCACGCACATTCCGCCCACGGCAGGAGCCTGGTTCATGCCACTCCGCGCGTCGCACTCCCAGCGACGCGCGACGCACGATTATCTTCGCGCCCTCGCGCCGCCGCCCTGCGTAATGTCAGCTTGAGATGTGTATACAGATGTGATAATAATGATAATAATAACAATAACAATAATAATAATAATAATAATAATAATAATAATAATCACGATAATAATAATACGAATACAAATGCGAATACTACTACTACTACTACTACTACTACTACTACTACTACGACTACTACTACTACTACTACTACTACTACGAACAATAATACAAATACGAATGCGAATAAGAATATTAATACGAATAAGCAATAATAATAACAACAGCGATAATCATAATATTTCGAATAATACTAATGATTCTAATAATAATACTGAATATTATTAAAAATCATCATCAATTCAATAACAATAATCATACAAGGAAGAAAAAGAAGAAGGATAATAATAAGGGGCGCGTGATTCAACACAAAAAATGCCCCCCTGCTCGGGCGCATCCGGGGGGGGGGGGGGGGCACCCCCCAAATGGAAACGCAGTGCGGCGGCGACGTTGATCACTGCCAACGCCCGGCCGACAGCAGGAGGGCGACAAGCGCGACGCAAGCGGATCCGCTTCAGCGGAGGGGGACAGAAGCGCACCTGCTGTAGCGGGGCGATTGGGCCAAAATGGTTACAGACAGTAGAGACAGAGGAGGCGGGAAAAAAGGCGACTCGGCTGGCGGGCGGTGTCGACACGGCTACAGACAGGAAAAGGACAAAGGGGGGAGAAGCGACGAAGGCAGGCGTAAAGTGTTCCTCCTTCTCCTTCTCCGCCCCCCCCCCCCACTGCAATAGACGACGACGACGACGACGACGACGACGACGACGACGACGGTGGACGACGACGCACTGCGGAGGCTCCATTGGGGGGGGGCGACGACGACACCGACGACGACGACGACGACGACGACCGTGGCGCGTCAGTAGTCAGCTCGGATGTACGATTCCTATAACAACTTCTATACGAAAGGCTCTCGCTTTGAGGCTGCCGTGCAGGGGGGACACGATCCCCTTGGCGGCGCCCGCGACGACCCCCTGGCGCGCGAGATGGAAGAAAATGTTTCGCGCCCCGCGGGATCTATTCATCAGCCCTGGGGGGGGCATCATTTGTTAATCACAAGCTGACATTGAGAGGGCGCCTCCCCGGACCAGGTCGCGATGCGCTGCGCGCGCATGTCTTCCCGCCCCTGGGGGTGACCCACAGAAAACCGCCGACGGCAACGACGACGACGAGGACGACGAAGCCATCGACGGAGACGACGACGACGACGACGACGACGACGACGACGACGACGACGACGACGACGACGACAACGACGACGGCGCGGAACTGGGGAGCACTCCGGCTCCAGGGCGAACGCCGCGCAGGGCGGCGGCCCGAGGGCGCCCGCGCAGTCGTCCTGCCGGGCGGGGGCCATCGGGGCGGGGGGAGCGCATCGAGGAAGAGCGAGGAGCCCTCTCGAGGACCGACGCTCGGGGCTCGGGGGTCGAGGGTCCCTCTGGGGGATGATAACCGAGGCTCGAGGCTCGAGGATCGAGGATCGAGGAGGGTCGAGGAGGATCTGGGACGGGCGGATCGAGGACCGAGGGGGGATCGGGGGGGATCGAGGAGCGAGGACCGAGGGTCGTGGACGGGAGGACGAGGAGCGAGGATCGAGGATCGAGGATCGAGGGGGACGGAACGATCGGGGACCCAAGATCGAGGATCCAGGGTCCAGGATCGAGAATCGAGGGGGGGGGAACGGCAGGTCCTGGGCTCGAGGACCCCTCTGGAGGACAGGCCCGGCTGTGGCGTGGGTGGGAGAGGGAGGAGGAGGAGGAGGAGGAGGAGGAGGAGGAGGAGGAGGAAGAGGAGGAGGAGGAGGAAGAGGAGGAGGAGGAGGAGGAGGAGCCGCGGAGCGCCGCGAAACGCACCGCCGGCGGCGCGGCGCCTGGGGCTCGGCGGCGGCGCTCGCGCGGGGTGCGATGGCGGCGGCGGCGGGTACGCGCAGCGCGGCGCGCGCGCGGCAGCGTGCCCCCTCTGTGGGGAAAGCAGAAGGTACCCCTGCCGCTGACTTCCCGGACCTCTCCTGGGGTGCGTTCTGACCAGAATCTCGAGGCGAAGCCAGCGGTGGGGCTCAGCGCTCGGAAGTTCGAACTCGTCGGCCCAACGCATGACGAGGCGGCCTCTGCTCCAGAAAGCATCCGGCTGCCAGCGGCGACGGCGGCGGGACGAGGGGAAACGACAGGGAGGCGGGGTGGGGCAGACTCGTACGATCAAGACTCGAGGTGCAAGGTGTTTTGACGTTTGCGCTGGTTCCGGGATGTCGTTCGCTGGCTGCGCTTCGCCAGAGCGTTCTGGGGGTGCCCGGATCGCCCCGAATGGCCCCCAAACACCGAGTTATGACCCGAAGACCACCAGGGGAGCAGCTCATGAGGGGAAACGTCGAACTGGAATCGTCGATACATCGTCAACAGATCCGTGACAGGCCCCCGAGGGCGACGCCGCACGTCCTTGGGCGGGGTGGGCTGTCAGGCCCATGTCGCGAGGAGTGGGCGATCGGGGACCGACGCATTCCGCCCTGAGCCTATCCCACCCTGACGTTGCCCGGACGGGAGGATCGAGGATCGAGGTCGCTGTCTGGAGCGAAGACGCTTCGGCGAAGCAGTGAGAAGGGGGGAAAGAGGCGGAGGCCAGCGAGGAGAAGGAGTCTGCTGCATCTGCCAAGCGCGCCGCTCCGCAGACCCGGAAGGCCAGGAACTTACGTCGCAGAAAGAAACCAATCAGAGAAATGAACCACCAGACTCAATTAGTGTTCGCGGTTTCGCGCATGGTCCAAAAACAGCGGGCACCGCCGCAAAATGGTATCCCATTCTATCCTCATTATTGAGAAAAGTGGCACTACCCGGTTTGATCGGGATTGTCTGCAGGCGGCTAACCACTCGAGGTCCAGCCACGCAGTCGGGCGCTGGGCTCATGCGCACTACGTGCCTGAAATATGACATTTCTCGCGACATGCGGCCAAACCTCCGACAAAACGGAGTTGGACTTCCTCCTCCTCCTCCTCCTCCTCCTCCTCCTCCTC